AGGCAGACCTTAACCTAAATAGCCAGGGAATGGATGAGGTAGATGCCTTCGAGAAGGTACAGCGAGAAGGAGGGGTGGAGAGGGAGGGGAGTGTGGGACTGTCTCCAAGGTGGGGAAGGGGTGGCTTTGGTTCTGGAGGGTGGGAGGGAAGCCGGTGAGTCACTGGGGACAGGACTGATGAGCCGGTTCTTTGGTGTTGCTGGCGGTGGAGGTGGGACCCGGCCCCCTGGAGAGCGGGGGTGGCAGTCTGAGGACGGAGATGGGCTGGCACGACCCAGGAGGGGTGGGAAGGCTGGTGGCTGCCGTGGACGAGCTAGGTGGCAGATTTGGGCCGAGACAGCCCACCCGAGTCCTGTCCCTCCCGCACCAGCTCTTCTGCGCTCCTGTCTGGCCTGGAGCAGGCAGCCGGTGGGGCCGGGGCCTGGGAAGGGAGCAGGGACCCTGGGAGCCCCTCGGTGACTGTGAGGGCAAGCACGGGTGGGCAGTGCGGTCGGTCCTGGCCTCTCATGGCCTCACCCCTGTGAAATGGAATGTGCTTCACCGAAGGCAGGCTGGCGTGACGCAGGCTCCGCCTCCGGCCCGCGCGGGGATCAGGGCTGTAGCGCGTCACTGGCAAGGCCCCCGGCCCGGGTCTGGAGGGCACTGGTCTGCTGTGGTGGACAACTGAGATGGCTTCCCTGCGACCTCTGCCTGTTCACACTCGTAGACCAGTTTTCTTGCCCACACTTGGTGACGTTCAACCTCTGTTTTTCTTTTTGACCATTTGAAGGACAAAAGGTTACCTCATTGCATTTTTTAATTTGCCTTTACTGGATTTGATGAGGCAAAGTGCCTTCCCTGTGTTTGAACCTTTTCTGCCTCCCTTTCTGAAAACTAGGTGGGGTTTTGTTGGGGTTTTTTAAATTTTTAATTTCTCTTTAAATGTCTATTTTATTTTTTGAGAGAGAGAGGGAGAGAGAGCACAAACGGGAGGGGCAGAGAGAGAAGGAGACACAGAATCCGAAGCAGGCTCCAGGCTCTGAGCTGTCAGCACAGAGCCCGATGCGGGGCTCGAACTCAAAGACGGCGAGATCATGACCTGAGCCGAAGTCAGACGCTCAACCGACTGAGCCACCCAGGCGCCCCCTGTTTTTTTTGTTGTTTTTTTTTTTAAGTGAGGGTGGGGACGTTTTTCCTCTGGGTTGGTTTCCTCTTGTGGATTCACAGGAAATTTATAAAATCTAAATATGAACATAAAAATACATAAATATGAAACATTCTGGACGTTAATCTTTCGTCAGTCATATAAATGGCAATTATCTTCTTTGTAATTAATTTTTTTCCTTTTTTGTGGTGTTATTTTGAAGAACAAAAGTTCTTAATTTTAATGGAAATGACTTTCTCGGTGGTGAAGGTTTGCACATCTGTGTCTTGCGGGAGAAATCCTCCTCCTTCCCCGAGCCCCTAGGCCGGCCTTTCACATGTGGGCCCGGCCCCTTTAGTCCCGCCCGGGACAGCTGTGCTGTATGTAGGGTCGGGCCCAGGGCCGTCTGTCCCTGTCCCCGGGGTCTGCAGGCAGCACCGCGAGGTGGGCTCCCTGCCCTGTTCCTTATGTACCCTTGAGCCGGCTGGTGCTCCGGGATCACTTGAACTTCGCGGTAATTCCTGGTCATAGATCCTTTCACCTTGTTCTTCTCCACAGCTGTTTTCACTCTCCTTGCTCTTTATCCTTCCAGAAATAGATTGGAGATCCAATGTGGGCTAAAAAAATAAAATAAAAAGTTGGAATTTTTATGGAGATTGTCCTGAATCTCTGTCTCGGTTTGGTGGGAATTGGCCCTTGTCTGCCCGCCTGTGAGTGAGCCGGGCATCTGGCTCTTATGTAGGCCACTCGTGTGCTGCCTTTTACTGAAGTTCTTCTGTACCTTTGTTAGATTCATTTGTCACTTTTATTATTTTTATAAATAACAAATTAAAAATTCTTATTTTCTGAACGTTCATGGGTATCTAGACGTGGAATTCTTTATATTCATTTTGTTTCCAGGAACCTTGCTGAACTGTATTAGTGATTGTTATAATTTATCCATAGATTCTTTTGGGTTTTCCTAAAGAAATGTATCTTCTGCAAATAATGGCCATTTCTTCCCGCCTTTTGAGTTCAAACGTCTTTTCTTTCTTTTTCTTGTCTCTACTCTGGCTATGACCCCAGCACAATGTACCAGTGATGGGAGTGGGCTTCCACCCTTTCCCTGTGACAAGTGATGCTTTTGGAACATTCTTCTCAGAAACCTTTTATATTAAGCTGAGAAAGTACCATCCAATCAGTAATCTGTTAAACTTTGAATTCATGCTGGATTTATTAAATACTTCTTGTAGCTGTTGAGGTGATCATATGATCCCATGTGTGGAGTCTGTTAATGTGCAAAATTCTGCTTGTTGATTTTCTAATGTTAAACTAACCTTGCATCCTTGAGGCACACTCGTCTTAGTCCTGGTCTGTTAGTCGGCAGGACTCCCATTTGTTTATAATGTGTGTGTGACCTTTGAACCCTCAGGCATGAGTGCAAATGGCCTCTGTGATCTTATCCGGTCAGGTTTTGTTTTTAGGAGTGCCCCAGCCCTGTCACCGGGTTGAGGAGTGTCCTCTCATCCCTGTTCTGTGGACCAGTTCCTGCAGGGTTGGGTAGTACACTGAATATTGGTAGAACTTCCAGGAAAACCCTGGGCTGGAACTTGCTTTATTTTTTAACTACTGGTTCACATGCCTTTATGGCCATAGGAGTATTTGTCCAGGTTTTATTTTTTTCTTGACAGTTTTTCTGGAATTTGTCAGTTTCATCTGTGTTTTCAAGTTCATTCGTGTAAAGTTTCTTCTTGATGTTGTGTTGGCAGCGTTTTGTTGTTCAGCACGGTCACCAGCTACGGCCCGTTTGTCCTTCGTCGTGTTCTGTGCTGGCCTCTTCGTCTCCCAGTCCGTCTTGTTGGACAAATTGATTCATTTCTTCAGAGAACCACCTCTCGGCTCTCCTGGGTTTGCCCCTCTTTTGGTATTTCTTTCCTTTCTGTTTTTACCTTCTGTTTCCTTCCCTCTGCTGGGTTTGGGCCATTCTGCCGACAGAAGCCTGCAGGCTGCGACCTGTCTCCCGGCGCGGGAGCTGCTCCTGACGCGTGGCTCAGTACTGGCGCCCAGTTCTCACCGTTACCTCATTTCCGTGATTCCTTGTTTGACCCGTGGAGAATTTAGTAGCGTGTTTCTTCATTTCCAGGCCTTTGGGGGGCTTTCTGGGGCCCCTGCGTGGTTGTTTGGCTTTGCTCCCACACCTGTGGGCTTCGTCTGGACGAAGACGTCCTGCCTTTGAAATTGGAGGCTCCGTTTGTGTCCAGTGTGTTTCTGAGTCGCTTTTTGTCCATCATTGTCCTTTCTTGACGGCCTGTGGATGGTTTGGGAACATTCTGTACCTTCGACCCTCGACGTGTGGCTGTCCCAGGGAGGGGGCCAGCTCAGACCAGCACCATCCAGTAGGCCAGATGTGAGCCACACCTGAGATTCTGAGTTTCCTTGTGGCCACCTTAGAAGAGTAAACGCAGAGCAGGTGAAATGAATTGTATTAACCCGACCCGTCACACCTTTCACCGCACAGTCACGGAGGAGACATCGGTGTGGCCTTTTATGTTCGTCCTTGTCTGCCGAGCCTGCAGCACCGCCGTGGCTCGGAGCCTCCGCGTGGCTCGTGGTCTACACATGGGACAGCATGGGCCCAGCCGGCCGCCCCCCGATATGCACTCAGCATCCGGGTCATCTCTTGTCCGGTGCCAGGCTCTCTCCACCCACCACTCCCCTGCAGAAGGGCCCGCCGCCCGCCCTTGCCCTGGTACACCAGTGCCCTGTACTCTCCTGGTCTTAGAGCGGAACCCACGGCGGCGGGGCCCCTGTGTTTCAGGACCCCGTGCCCTGAAAGCAAGCGAGCACACATCAGCCTTCTCTCGGGGGCAGGGGGGGCTAGCTGGGAGGGGGGTGCAAGTGTGCGTTTGGGGGTCCTGCTGCCCAGATGGCCCCACCAGCTCCGGCCCCCTGGCATGAGCATGAGGGGCTTCCAGTCCATTGGTGGCAGCCGAGGGGCAGGTATGGGGCCTGAATGGGGCCAGTGCCCAGATTGTGCTCAGAGAACGGGCACGCACTCCGCGGGGTCCTCAGCCAGGCTCTTTGTCCTGGGTGCTGGGAGCAGGGCCCAGGTCCAGGGCTCCGGGGACGGGCTTCCAAGAGGCAGGTTTCAGAGCTGTTGCCACATATTTCCAAGTGGTTCAGCCAGCACACAGCCTCCCGGACTGGGTGTGAGCACTGCGGCCTGGCTGCTTGAAACTCAGCTCTGGGCGGATTGGCGGGGCCCCTGCAGTGGGTCCTGTCAGGACAGTGTCTCTCCCGGTGGCTGGTCCAACACGAGGGACACTTGCTACATTCCACACACACACGCACCCCCATTGTGCCCCCTAAGACTGGCCATGGGCAGGGGCTTCCTGGCTCCCTGTGGGCCTGGTGGGCGGAGCTGAGGCCCCATGCTGCACGGAGCACCTGCTGGATGGCGCGTCCCAAGCCGGGTATAATTAGCCGCCGTGACAGGTGGGGTGGATCGGGTGTGCGGCTGGCCTCGGCCGACCTGGGCACCCCTGGGCTTGGAGCCTAAACGCCATGCATAAGGTCCTCCACGCATTGAGCCTCCCCCCACGTCTCCATCTTCAGCCAGGATGGGGTGCTGCGGTCCAGAGAGGGGATTAGTGGCCTGAGAATTCCTACACCAGCCTAGGAGACCCCTGGGCCAGCCCGGTCCCTGCCGTCAGTCCAGCCCAGGGCCCTTCTGATCACCCAGGGGGCACGGGTGGGTGGGGGCGCAGGCTGCTCTGGCCTGGGGGTTTCAGCCTTCCAACAGGAAGTCTCTGGCCCTGGGGGACTGAGCAGGCAGGGCCGCCCCGCCTGGTGCAGAGGCCTTGACCTGCTCACCCGGCTGCCCTCTTCCCCCCCGCAGTGCAAGAAGAAGCACACGCTGCTGTGCCCCGACTTCTCTCGCAGGGGCGTCTGCCCCCGGGGCGCCCAGTGCCAGCTGCTCCACCGCAACCAGAAGCGCCCTGGCCGGCGGGCGGCCTCAGCCCCGGCCCCGGAGCCCAGCAGCGCCTCACCCAAGAGCAAGGCCGCCTCCAGCCACGGACCCAGGTGACGGGGCCAGTGGGTGCTGTGTGTGTAAGCTTGGGACAGTGGGGGGGGGGGGGGGGGGGGAGGGGGGTTCCGGAAGCAGTCCCTCCCCACGCTGGGAGACCATCCTCACGGGGAGACCCTACACCCCATCCCAGCTCTTAGAGCTTCAGACCCAAAAAAAACCTCAGTTCAAAGTTGAGGATCCAGTGACCTCCAGAGGTGCCCCACCCTACACCTCCAGGCTGGACAGAGCCAAGGACATCCCTGGCCCGGACCAGCCTATGTGGGAATGCCCAGTCCCTGTCCCATGGAGGAAGGTGGCGGCTTCTCAGCTACCCACTCCCACTCCCCAGGAAAGGGAAGATTCTGGGTGATACTCGTGGCTGGGGTCCCACGTGCTCACCTGTCCCGTGAGTGGACTGTGGCAGGTGAGGGCAGGGTCAGTGGGAACCGGGGCTCACCGGCCAGGCTCACCCCAGCTGCCTCAGGCCAGAGGCCCCTTGTCGTCACCGGCCGGTCCTCTGGGGCCGAGGGCTGGCCTCAGACCTGGATGGCGATGCCCGGTGGCTGCTGGGACAGGTGCCGCATAGCTGGTCGGCTAGTGCCCTCAGGACTCCAGCCCTGCCGGGCGGCCACCCACCCTCACACTTCTGCTCCCCTTCCTTTCCCACAGGAAGTCCTCGGCTGCCCAGCGCCCCACCAGACAGACGCCCAGCTCCCCCACCTCCGTGGCTGCTGGCTCAGCCTCCCCTCCCTCCTCCCCAGGGGTGTTAGCTGCAGCCTCGGGCTCTCCCCTGTCAGCAAAGCCTCCCTCCTCCCCCTCCCCTTCCTCCACCCCCTCCTCTTCCTCCCCCCTCTCCCCCTCCTCCCCCACCCCTCCTTCCCCCTCCCTGTCCTTGGACCAAGAGGAGCTGTCTCTCCGGGAGGAGGCTGCCTCTGCGGCGACGAGCTCCAGCAGCCTCTCCAAGCTGCCTTCCTTCATCTCCCTGCAGTCCTCGCCGAGCCCAGGAGGCCAGCCCAGGGCCCGGACCCCCAGGAGCCCCCCAACTAAGGACTCAGGTAGGCAGCTTGGCCCCTTGAAGCCCGGCGTGGCACGGCCGGGGGCTCTTTTTCAGTGCTCCCCACAGCCCCACCGGGTCAGGACTCCCAGGTGGGGCCCGGATGGTTCGTGAGCGCCCCGCATGGGCTGGGGCGCTGATGGTGCCGCGTCCGCCCCCCCCCCCCCCCCCCCCCCCCCCCCCCCCCCCCCGCTGGCAGGGGTGCGCCTCGGGCCCACGGGGACAGAGCTGGCCAAGGTGTGAGCGCAGTGGCGGCCGCCCGCACAGGCCACCCCAGCCGAGGGCTGATTTAATTAGAAAGCGCCCATTTCTGTTAATTTGTTCTGGAAGATCACCGCACACTCCTGGAGAGAACAGATGTTCCCTCTCCCCCGATGAACGTTTGGGGCTTGGTAAATGGCTCCACTCAGCCTTGTTTAGGAGAGAAAAGAGGATTTTATGGCTGCAAACGACCCTTTCTGTAAACATTTTACAGCTCTCCACGCGTTTGAGTGACGATAAACCCCACGCAGCTCGGCGGGCTGCAAATTTGCGACCATACGGCCATCATTTTATTGTCATATTTCACGGTCGTAACGTTAATGGAAGATGCTTGCCGCAGCCTTCCCTAACGGCCCCGCTGAGCACGCTCAAACGCCTGCCTCCGAGGGGCCGGGACCCGCGGTGCCTGTGTACAGCCCCCCGCCTCGGGGCCGCAGAGCCTCGGCCAGGCCCTCCACCTGCCCGCCTGGGACCAGGGCATCAGCACCTTCCGTCCGGGTGGGCCTCCCTGGGGTGGGGACGGGGCGGATGGGGGCCCTGAGGCAGCCAAGCCCAGTGCCAGTGGAGGCTGGCCCGGGAGAGGCCGCAGAGACTCCCGCTGGCCTCGGAGGCCCCATCAGCCTTCATTTCCTGCCCGGGCCTCCCCGACCCTGGCCGGGGCCAGAGCTAGAGGGGCAGGCGGAGGCAGGCCCAGGCTGGCTGGCTGCACCTACTCAAGCAGTCACCCAGTAGGGGTGAGGCCTGTGGGCAGAGGCCAGTGCAGTGTGCAGGCCTGGAGCCCCGGCTGGGTGGGCTTGGCTTCTGGGCTCTGGCTCGGCCCAGCCGGTGACTGGAGTCCTCAGCCCCGAGTGGGGGCCCAGGAGGAGAGGCGGGCTCCCAGGGGCACATAGAGAGTGCCGTGCCTGTGGGCAGCCACATGGAGGCGCCCGTGGGCGGGGGGGGGGGGATGCCAGCCTGAGCCCTCATAACAGAGGGCGGGCACTGACTCCCAGGGAGCGCGGGGCACACAGGGTAGGGACCCCCGCGGACGTGACCTGACCGTCTGCCCCCGGGCCCCTGCCCACCAGACCGCGGCCTCTCCCTCCCTGTCCCTCCTGCCCCCAGGCCCTGTCACCGCACCGGGGACCCAGGTCCCTTCCCCCCTGCTCAGCCGACCGCTCACACGTGTGACTTTTGAGGTTGAAGGCACAGCTCAGCCTCCACGTGTGCGTCTGGCAGCCGTGTTGCAGGTGGGAGGGGAGCCGTGGGTCTCGGAGTCTGGCGCAGGCGGCGTGCACCTGGTATTTATAGCTCGGCCGGCAGATCGCTGTGGCTCCTGCCTGGGACCCGGCCTGGCCTGCGTGCGCAGGGC